TGGCTATACAGCAGTTTTCCGGGTCAGATTTGACTTTCGATGCTATGTCTTTCATACTGTCGCTGGGCACTCCCTCTTATCTGTGGCAATACATCGTTTCTGGCATCTTCTAACTAATCTCCTTGTTTTTCTTGGGTCCTATGCCTCCTGTACCTTTTCCTTTCTCTGTTCACTAGTTTTTGCCTCCCTACACCTTCGAGTAAACCAAGGACTCTTTTGTCTTTCCTATTATTTCGTTTCCCTTGGGAACAAAACTTTCCTCTGCCGTCCTTACACTTTGTTGCCACATATTCCCATCATCTCGTTTACTGATTTTCTACCATTACTCTGTCCCACTTGAAACCTCCTGCAGGAAGTTTCTCATACCTGTGTAGTCCCTCCTTTTATAGTTTGTCCTGTCCCCTTCAGTTCCTGTTACCTTCTCCACTTGTAACTCTACTATATAGTCAAAACTCAGAACCAACGTGATCGCTAACTCCAAGGGGCCTCTCGAAGTATGTCCTCAAGTCTGAACTGCTCAGGTGAACACAAGATCCATCTTTGCTGTTCATCCTCCCCTCCTCTCTGGTTGTTGTCCCTGACATAATGTTTGTATGAGTTTTTTTTTTTTTCAAGTACCACATCCATCATCTTCTTGCTCTCCAATGTTTTTCGGGACCCCCATGTGGGCTCCAGGTTTCCCAGTCGATATCCCTGTGGTTGAAAATCGACCATTACCAGTAACTTTGCTCTGCTCGAGTGAGCTCTTCTTGCCACCGTCAGCCAGTGTGTCCACCATCACCCTGTTGTTTTCTTCGTACTCCTCTCTTGGCCCTCCTGAAGTTCTGTGTGGTTATACATCACTCCAATGACTACTTTATGTTCTCACGGACTGATTGTACCTACAATGTAGTCTCTTTCTTTCTCCATATCATGGCCCTTGCCTTCCATTTCCCTCAAATCCCCATCGGTGTTTTAATTGAGCATTGCAACCCCTCCTCCCCCTCTACTCCTCTATCTTTTCCTCAGGATTCTGATATCCTGTTGGGAAGATTGTGGTCTGTTATTGGGGGGGGGGGGGGGGGGGGGGGCGCAGTGAGTTTTGTTTCTGTGACTGCTATGATGTCTGGGGATTTTTCACTGATTCTTTCGTTCCACTCCTCATGTTTAATCTTTATTCCATCCGCGATTGTGTACCAAAACCTTCAGTTTTCTATTCTATCATGTGGTCATGCAAAAATATTGGGGTTGGGGGAGCGAGAGCCTTGGGGGGGCCCTATATGGGCGTGGTGTAGGTGGGGTTTGTGTTGATGGGGGTGGGGCAGAATGCCCTAAGGGAACAGCTGTTGGGGTGAGGTTTGTGATAATGGGGGTTGGTGCAGAAGGGAACAGTGGATGGTTGTAGTATAGGTTCTCAGTTGCGTTGGAATTCGCGGGTTGGGGGAGTCTTTTGGTGGGAGATTCTGTGGGCTGTGTTTTGCCCTTCCTCCTGTGTCTGGGTCCTGCTCATTTTCGTCATTGCTTCTCGTTCCTCCTGCGTCTCTGTACCCTCTCTTTCAGTGTAGTCCTTTCTTCTGTGTTCTGTCGCGGATCGAGGTATACTCCTGGTACACCTCTTTGTCCATCATCTTGCTTTCTCTTGCATAATCCTGGTCCGAACTGATTCTTCCTTGAAAGTTACTCTGACAGGCCTATCCTTCCACTCGCAAATAACCACCCAATTCTCTGAAATTTTGTCACCTGGGTCATATCCCTCTCCCTATTGTTTCATGATGCCTTCCACTCATTTTTTTTCTCCTCCTGTTTGATTTCTCAAAGTTGTCCCCCTTGGCTTCTGAGCCCGTACACAAAAACTGACACTCGGCCCTTTCCTCCTCCTCACTGAGTCCTCCATCTGCTTCCTCTGAGGCATTTTATTTCCTTCCATTAACATGTTTCTTCCTTAGTCCTGTCATATCTAAACTTCCTATTCTCTGAACTGTCCTTTTCCTGACCGCTGGTTCGCCTTGCTACTGGCATTGGGCTGTTAGAAGCTCTGCATATAAGCAACCTTCATAGTCTTCGGACCTGTCCGTTTGACCTTAGTGTGCTCGCTTTTCCCCTGGCCCCACGTGGGGTTCTGATAGGGCCTTCGTGTACGGCATTCTCCAATTGTTGCTTACCGTCCCTTGTCTGGCGCCTGACTTGAATTTCCTGATGTCACATCTGAAAGTCATTTGTCCTCTAATCTGTTTTCAGGCTTTGCAGTTTCCTTCTAAGGCACTGTAATCCTAGCTTCTGCTGCTAAGACCTGTACTTCCCACTCCCTGGCACTCTCAGCTAATCCGCTTCCTCACTTTCTTACAAGCTCTACTATCACTTCCTCCCCACTCTTCCACCCTTTATTGGAGCCTCTAACTCCCTAGTCTTTCCTCCCTGGTTCGTCTACACCAGATCTCTGTTTTCCCGTCCTCTAAGGCCCACCCATGGTGTGTGTGTGTGTTTTGTGTTGTGTGTGTGTGTGTCTGTCCTGTCTGTGGTGTGTATGTGCTGAGTCAGTGGGTCTGGCAGCTGACAATATAATATATTATTATCACTCTCCCTAACCACCTGTCAACACAATGGAGCAGATGCTTCCCACCATCCTTCTTTTTCCTTTCTTTCTTTTCTTTCTCCTTTCTTTCTCTTTCCTTTTTTTTCTATTTCTTTCTTTCTCATTCTCTTTCTTCTAAATCTTTTCTCTTCTTCCTTTCCTTTCTCCTTTCTCTTTCCCTTTTTCCTTTCTTCTGTATTCTGGGCATTGCTTTTGTCACAATCTCTCAAAACCATGAAATTCATTCTCACTGACACTTCCATCATTTAGATCCTACACTTGGGAAGAAGAAGAGGCCTAAGATTCACTTGGAAATCAGGAATTTCTTACACGCTAGGCATGCTGAACAGGACTACAGAAATGGCATTCCCACAATGGCCACTCACTGGCTCTCCCGATTTTTTTTATAGTGCTCACAACATGACCATGGTGACCCAAAATTTTTTTTTCACCCCCCCTCTCACATATGGGCATAACAGGCTTTCTCCCACTTGATTTAAAGCTGCAGAATTTATCGGCGTATACTACATGAAACACTGCTTCGCAAGACGTATATATATACAGCCAAAAAAGTCAAAGGTGTTATTTATGTTTAGTGTAAACCCTTATAACTGGCATTTATATGCAATTTATAATGGAAAAAAGTGGCATTCCCTGCTTTCCGGCGATGTCTGGTTTCCGCAGTAAGCCGGGAACCTAACTTGACATATAAATTGGGGGCTCCTACTGTAACAAAAAAAGTGCATTAAAATATGCAAATAACTTTTAAAAAAACACGTTGAAACTTTGAAAAGTTTTCCAGACATAATCAGAAGAGCCGCAGAAACTCAAGAGAATGTAAACAAACAAAGCCGAACAGGCGGTGCACAGAACTGTAATAGCACAAACTGGGGAGCCGTATAAAATGAATTTTTAAACCTTTGGGGGTTTGGGACGTACTAGTACGTCTTACAACCCAGGGTTTTAAACGAACAGTACACCTAAATTCCTAGTGCCCTTCAAATCTAAGTGAGAGACAGCTGGTAGGCCTACATATAAAGAATGGGTCTATGTGGTCAGTGTGACAAGTATAAAAAAAAATCCTGCAGCACAAGGCGCAATGAGAAAAAAAAAACCTTTGACCGTGTTTTTGGATTAAAACAGCGACTTTGCACTGTATTTTCGTATGGTATTTATGTTGTATTCTAGTTTTCCTGGCATCATTTTTATAGAATGGAAGACATATACAGAAATTGAGAATGATTTTGACTGGTTCTAAATGAAAAAGTACCTTGAAATTGAGCTCAAAGTAGCAGAAATGTTCGATTTTTACCAAAGTTCAAAGTAAAAACAAATCATGCAGGAGCGTCCAATACATATCCACTGGTGATCGCTAATATTACTTTCACAAGTGCGCTGATATTATTTATACCATTTCTTACACAAAAGCAGTAAGTCTGCATAACATAATCTATTTTTTTGTAAGTATAAAAATTCACAGTGGAAAGCCAAAGAAATATAAGAGGGGCCTGGGGGATGTGACTAACAAACAGAAGAACTTGTTATTAATAGTGCCAGGAATGTCTTTCTTGTTTATTCTGGACCCTATTCGGAAATTGCATCTTTTGAAACTGTGTGAAATTGACAAAATTGCTAATACTGACCACTTATTGGATAGTTTGAAATCGGTAAATGGGTGTTTCTTGTATTCCATTCGAAGAAAAATGGTGTTCACGAAATAGTTATGATTTTGTCGACGGTACACTTGAATTGGCCGAACATAGGGCTCAAAGGGGCACAATCACCGATGTGTAAACATTGTCCGAAACGCTAACTTCGTGAGAGCAATAATTCCCTAATTTCCCATCAAATTTCATACTTTTGGTGTCATTATGATCGGGAAAAGATTCTCTATCTTTTCATAAGAAATTTTTTTTTTTTTTTTTTTTTTTTTGAAATTTTGGGGGACCTGAAACACAAGTCTCTGAAGGCCCTTTCCCGCCCCCTGAAAGGGTTAAGGTATAAATTGAAACGTCCATATTAGCAAATTACCGAAAAGCAAGACCCTCCAAATACATGGACATCTGAGTATGGTGTGTTCATATTTTTTGATATAAAATGCACAAGAAGTTTTTCTTTTAGCAGTTGTTGCTGTTTAATTAGTGCTTCAGAAAAAAAAAAAAAAAAATCAGTAGTCCAAAAAAGCATGACCCTGACAATACTGATTTGTAATGCCCACTGTTTGTAAGACCCATACATGTTTAGTAATTATTTTTTAATATAATAAAACTGATGCCCCAATGTAGTACCTTTACTTTTTTTCTGGCAAATGCATACCACTCCATGGAAAAAGGAAATAAGACTGTTGACAATAAAAATTTGTCTAAACTGAAACAAAATGTTAAAGTGACATGCAATGCATGCACTGAGTCTGAAGGGTACAAACAATTCAGTATGAAATTGGCTACACTTACATGCAATAAATGTGCACAAGATAAGTGGACCCCAGAGATCCCCTGAAATTAGGAAAAAAAATGTAAGTGCACGCTATCATAATGCATATGAAAAACAAATAAAATATTGAAGAGTTTACAATAAAAAATCTCCCAGCACTACAATTTACACCTTTAAAATCAAATGATCTGAGCTGTAACATCCCCACTCCTAAATAACAAAAAGGCACAATACCGTGACTGGAACATACACAAATAACCCGCACATAAAAGAGAGAAGCTTACGACGACGATTCGCTCCGACTTGGACCATTGACAAAGTCCCCACTAACAGAGGTGGAGCAGGACGGCTAATATAGGCAGGAAAGGTGGGAGGTAGTATAGTAGTAGTAGTAGTAGTAGTACAAGAATTGTATATAATACCGACAAGACGAAATTAAGAAAACATGCACAACACCCGGGCATCCCCACGTAGACATTCGCCATCCAGCCAGCCACGGATGGCGAAAACGTCCACAACAAAAACAACCAGACGCCCACATGTTCTTAATTTCATCAGTAGTTGTAGAGTAGTAGAAGAAGAAGAGGTAGTAGTAGTGGTAGTGGAAAAAGTGGAAATAAGGATGACGAGCCAGTCAAAAACAAAACAAAGGAAGGGGAGCACTGCAAGAGACTAGATGCCCACAGAGGGGGAGCAAGCGCACAGAGGTGCGTGAAAGGGGAAGTGGGAAATAAAATAAATGAAGAAGGAACAGAAACACGAGACAGGAAGAGAAAGACAACCCAGAGGAGAAAAGGAAAGAGAAAGGGGAAGAGGAAGAAGAAAAAGAAAGAAAAAATGAGGATTCAGGTTAAGTCACGGGTGTTCTGAATTTGGAGCTTTTTACAATGTAGTGGGAGAGGAAGCATCTACAGAGACGAAGCCAGGGCTAAGGTTTCATACAAGGAAAGTTGTGTATTAGAGAGGATTCAACTAGACGGCGACTGTTCGATTGGAAGTAGGGAAGACAGTTTTTTGCAAAAAACCAGTCAATAGGATGGCTATGATCTCTGACGTGACAGAAAAGAGCATTGTTATGTCGGCAAGCCTAACACTATTTTTTTGCTCCCTAAGTCGTCAGAAAGAGATCGACCAGTTTCTCCCGAAGTATGAAGAGGACAGGGGGAGCAAGAAATAGAGTAGACACCAGGAACATCTGTAGAGGGAGGAGAGGTATGAACCCAAAATTAGTGCGAAGAGTGTTAGTCTGGCGGAAGGTAAGCTTTATGTCTAAGGGACGGAGAGAATTGTTGAGATTGAAAGACCGAAATGTAGGGAAGGCAGAGGAAAAGAGTTCCCATGAGTAGAGAGTTTTGGGGGAGAAGAAATTGCATTTAGCACGTGAGAGGGCAGAGCTATGAAATGGGAAGGGTAGCCAAGATGGAGACAATTATGAAGAGTGGAAATTTTTTGCTGGAAGGGAAATGAGGGTCACAGATGTGGAGGGGACGAAGAAAGAGGGAGATAAGAACACTTTTCTTGACAGGGGAAGCATGATAGGAAAAGTAGTGAATGTACATGCCACTGTGCATAGGTTTACGGTAAACGGAAAAGGAAAAACCTGTATCTGAGCGGTGGACAAGGACATCAGGAAAGGAAGCAAGGAATTAGATTCCCATTCAGCTTTAAACTTAATGGAAGGGGCAAGATTATTAAGAGCTTCAAGAAAAGGTTGCTTCGTCTCTGTAGATGCCTTCCTCTCCCACTACATTGTAAAATGCCCCAAACTTCAGAACACCCGTGACTTAACCTGAATCCTCATTTTTTTCTTTCTTTTTCTTCTTCCTCTTCCCCTTTCCTCTTTCCTTTTCTCCTCTGGGTTGTCTTTCTCTCTCCTGTCTCGTGTTTCTGTTCCTTCTTCATTTATTTTATTTCACCACTTCCCCTTTCACCACCTCTGTGCGCTTGCTCTCCCTCTGTGGGCATCTAGCTCTCTTGCAGTGCTCCCCTTCCTTTGTTTTTGTTTTTGACTGGCTCGTCATCCTTATTTTCCCACTTCTACCACTACCACTACTACTACCTCTTCTTCTTCTACTACTACTACAACTACTGATGAAATAAGACACATGTCGAAGTCTGGTTGTCTTTGTTGTGGACGTTTCGCCATCCAGTGGCTGGCTGGATGGCGAAACGTCTACAATGGGGATGCCCGGGTGTTGTGCATGTGTCTTAATTTCATCTTGTCGGTATTATATATAATTCTTGTACTACTACTACTACCTCCACCTCTTCCTGCCTATATATAGCCGTCCTGCTCCACCTCTGTTAGTGTGACTTTGTCAATGGTCCAAGTCAGACCGAAACGTCGTCGTAAGCTTCTCTCTTTTATGTGCGGGTTATTTGTGTATCCCCACTCCTACTTTAAAGGACTCAGATCTGGATAATTGGTTTTCCTAAATCTCTTCATAATGTTACCTTCCAGACAATAACAGCACATCAAGCTATAATATTCACTAGTCTCCACTCACTCTCATCTAACATGCTCTCACAGGCCCCTGCTTGGTGCTCAAGTCTTAGCACTCAAAGCCTTCTTTAGCCCCCCTCCAACATTTCCTAGGACAACTCTTACATCACCTTCCATCCACACTAGATTAATATACCCTCTTGGTCCCTCTTATTCCACTCCATCCTCTATAAATGCCCAAACCATCTTAGCAACTCCTGCTCTGTCCTTTGAATTATACCTTCGGCAACCCTCACCCATAAAAACAAATTTCTGCAGTGCATTCTTAAATCTACCCAATATCTCTTTGATCTCCTCATTACCTGTACTCTCCCTCTAGCTCACCTTTCTTATGACAGCTGCAGTATCTTTTATTGTCTCCTCCTGTAGTTCATTCATTTTTATGTATCATTTACCCACTGAAGCCATTTTCCTTGTACTCCAACAGTCTCTTACTCCATCTACCACAAAATAATGATCTGATGTACTGTATCTGTCACTCCTCTAAAAACATGCATATCCAATCTTTATCATACATAGTCTAGTAAGCTGTAAAAGAAATGTGAGATCTCCAATGAGGCCAAGAAAAAATGCTACAGATGTTGCACTTTACAAATAACTGTATATTAAGTATTAATAAGCTTAAAAATATGTGGAGACTGAATTTTGAAATAATTTAAAATGGCAAATATATTATAAAACCAGATGAAGTACACACACAAAAAATCCATACATACAAGCAGATCTTCCATCTACAGTACACTACATTTATTCATGTTTAGATGCAATTTATTATGCAATTCAAATACTGTATAACTTATTACATACATTCCTTCAAAAGTGCCTTCTTCTCCTTCGGGTATAAAACATGGTAGAATTTTGTGCCCACAGCTCTCAAGTCACGCATCTGAAACAAGAATCATTTCATAATTACCTATACAGTACCTATACAGTACTACCAATATAGTACAACCTTAACCCTTTTACTATTGGTGCTGTATAGATATGTCTTACGAGCCAGTGTTGGTGACGTATTAATACGCCAAAATTCTAGCAAATTCAAATCAAGCAGAAGGCTGATAGGGCTTCATGTGAGAGAATGGGTCTGCATGGTCAGTGTGTGCACTACAAAAAAAAAAAAAAAAAATGAGGAGACAGTGGTGCATTGTGGGAATGCCATTTCAGCAGTCCTTGCAGCATGCCTAGCAGTAAGTACAGTGGACCCCCGCATAACGATATTAATCCGTTCATGAGAGCTCATTGTTATGCGAAATTATCGTTATGCGGATGAATTTTCCCCATAAGAAATAATGGAAAAATCAATTAATCCGTGCAAGACACCCCAAAGTATGAAAAAAAACATTTTTAAAACCCATGAAATATTAATTTAATACACACAAACAAAAAAGGGCATGCACAATTACATGACACTTCCCTTTTATTAAGATCGGTGATTTTGAGGGGATGGGAGGGAAGATTTTAATTTTAAAAGGGAACCCCCTTCCCATTAAGACTTGAGGTGTCAAGTCCTTTTCGGGGGTTATTTTCCTTTTTTTTAAACCACTGGACTACTCAAGTCACTGGACTTCGTCCAAAACATATCTTCCATAGTCCTGTACCTCTCGTTCCTTTATGACTTCCCTAAAGTGTTTCACAACATTGTCGGAAAGTCACCAGCACGGCTTGAAATAGCTGTGTGAGGGTGTTTTTTCCCCAAAAATTTTTTGCACTTTCAACTACATTGCACAGATTTCCTTAATTTTGAAAGGGGGGCAACTTCTAAATTTCTCTCTCCCCTCCTCCGAAAAAAGTTCCTCGGGTCTGGCCTTTTGCTTGAAGTTTGTCACAGCTCATCATGGTTAGTTCTTCATTGTCCTCCTCCACCAACTCTTCCACTCATCCCCACTACCCTCCAACCCCAAGGACTTCCCCAATCCCCACAATTTTTTCCTCAACTGCATACTCCTCTCGGGGTTTTAGCCAAAAAACCCTTCAAATCCCCTTTTGTCTACACATTCGGGCCACGTTTTTTTCCCAAGCAGAGTTCAAGGTCCCTTAGTCACTCCCTCCCAACCCTTCCCTAAAAGTTTACAAAATTGAGGATTTTAAAGTGATCTCTCCAAAACTCTCTTAAGTCATTGATTTTTTCGAGGTCACTAAAAACACCTTTCAAACAAGCTTTTTGTGTACATTTTTTTGAATTTTGCAATAACCTGCGGTCCATGGGCTGCAGGAGAAAATGGATTAGGAGGCAAAAACTTCACCTTAATGAATTTCTGTCCCCCTAAAGTCCTCTGCCAATCTGAGGAGACCAGGGCATTGCAACACCAGGGGCATTTAAAGGTCTAATTTTTTTTTCATTTAGGTAATCTTTCACATTGGGGGGAAAAATGCATGGGAACCAGCTAGAAAAAGTCCCTAGGGGACCCATGCCTTCTGTTTCCCTCCACACACACACAAATTCCTTGAGGTATTTTTTTGTCTGAACGCTCTGGGATTTCTGATGATACACTAATAAAGGCTTCACTTTTGCAATCACCAGTACTTTGGAACACATCAACAAGTAAGCCTGTCTTTCATAGGCTTAGTCCGGGGAGTGCCTTTTCCCCCGGGTAATGAGGTCCTGCTTGGCATTTTCTTCCAAAACAGGCCTTTTTCGTGCAATTAAACACTTGTTCGGGTTTCATCCTTCATTTTCTATGTACCCTTGAATTCCTGCACATTTTTTTTCAGCTGCTTTGGGGGTCCGAACTGGCAGCCCACCACCTTATACACAGTTGCCACTACCTTCTTAAATCTCTAAAACCAACCTTTCGGGCCTTAAATTCACTCACAACATCACTGTTGCAGGCATTTTTTTTAATTTAAACCTGATGCAACTTCCACCTTTTCACTTATGACACTTGAGAATGCATCTCCTGCACTGTTTTTCATTTTTCCCACCAATAAGATCCTTTAACATCTTCCCACTGCGATCTTTTTTCGAAAACACAGTTTAACCTTTTTCAAAACACTTTTCCCTTTATTGCCTTTTTGTTGCCCCAATAGTAGGATGGTTGACTGGGGTTTTTTTAAACAACCTGGCCCGCTCGGAGACACGCACCCACTTTCATACTTATGAAGATCTCTTTCTTCACCTGTAGTAATTCCACCTTTATTCCTGTAGGGTTGGCACTAAAGCTTTCTTGGGGCCCTGGGGCACTTATTTCAGATAAAATCACCAAAAACACTGTAAAAATGCGAAATATTCCGATTGTATGCTTGGGTGTTACCCGGAGGCTGGCTGGGAAAAATGCCACCACGGGAAAATGTAGACGGCTAAGCTGCACATTAGACCGCTCGGACGAAAAGCTTAACGGTTTTTAGCGGTATGCAGGCAAAATCTTAGCGATAAAACGTATCGGGATGCAATTTAACGTTATTAAGGCCAACGGATGCGGGGGGCCACTGAAAATCTGACTGCCCGGAAAATTTGGGGGCCTTTCTTTCCCAAATGATAGACCTATCACAGAGAAAGGTCATGAAGATGAATTTCATGGTTTTTTTAGGAGTTTTGACTGAAGCAATGCCCAGGATACCAGAAAAAGAAAAAAAAAGGAGAAAGAGAAAGAAAAAGGGGGGGAAAAGAGAAAGAATGAGAAAGAAAAAGGAAAAGAAACGAAAGAAAAAGAAACAGAAAGAAAATGAGAAGAGAGAAATAGAAAAAATGGAAAGAGAAAGAAAAAGGGGAAAGGGGGAGGAAAAAGAAAGCAAAGACAGATAGTTAGGAGGAAAAAGGTGGGGTACAAGCATTGGGCCCATTTGTTGACAGCGGGGGGAGGAGTAATGATATAATATGTCCATTTGACAGCTGCCAGACCCTGACTCAGCACATTTAGAAGTCCACATAACACACACAAACAAAATTACTGAAAATAAACAGTTTTAAAAATGTCCATGACAAAAAGTGTAAAATAGGGCCAATTATACGGCAGGTAAGGTTCCAGGGTACCACCGAAAGCGAAATCGCAGTAAAGTGGAACACCCTTTTTTCCCCCCCTTTTTTTTTTTTTAAAAGCATACAAAAACTAATAACAAGTTTACACTAAGTATATTAAGTTGCAATAAATTGCATCAAAAAAAAAATAAAAAAATACAATACACACACAGTGCACCATTACTTATTTAAAAAATTTATATCCCTTAAACTAGGGGGAGATATAGATTTATCTTAAGAAATCAAATGTGGTATGCAGGTAAATCAGGGGGGCTACCCTACCAGGGGGCCCTCCCACCTACACATAATATTCTTTTCATTTAAGCACCCCGAGCGATAAAATGCACATACATTTACTCAACTTTCCTTAAAAAATTTTGTACTTAATCTAGGGTGAGATAGTAGTATTTATTGTAAGAAAACAAAATGTGGAAAATAATAAAAAAACAAAAAAGGGACAATATGTGACTGAACGATACACAAAAACCCCACATAAAAGACAAAGCTTACGACCGTTTCGGGCCGACTTGGACCATTGACAAGTCACACTGTCACCTTATGTGATTTTTTTATTTACTATTGTTCGCTTTAAAATTTTTGCTGAATTGATACTTTTTCCCGTCCAATTACTACCTCATTTTTTTTTTTAAAAACTATCAATTGATATTCTTACAAAATTTAAATAAAACATTTTACAAAAAATTTCAATTTACTCTTAACAATTTTGACATTAAAAACCATTATTTGTCAAATTTACCTTTACCTGTTTTAATACCACATTTCTATCCAGATTACCTTAATTACCTTGTATGCCAATAACCCAAGTATAACTACCATGCAATATTAAAGAAATAAACATTACTTTTTCACTTTTTTGTAATCATTATTACTTACAAAATTTTTTTAAACACCATATTTATACCATCAATTTTAATTTTGTCTTTAAACTTATTTTTATACTTCTCATAAATTTTGAGCAAAATTTTTCAAGTTTTTATTTCAACCCCAACCTTATATAATCCCTTTACCTGTGTACCTGTCTACCCTCTTACATCAAATATAACAAGACATTACCATTGTTTTTTTTTTACTATTTTCTTTTGGTACTTTAATTTGAAAATTTAAAATTTTGTAAATTTTAAAATCTGGGTATAATCTTGATCTTGTCAACAACCTAACCAGACCAGGCAATTGAAATTAACCATTTCAAATTGTATTTTTAAAAGTTTATATTATAATTCCTCCCATTGCCCATTTAACTTTGCTTCCCTTACTTAATTTTAGTCCCTTAATGTTTTCTCCTTTTTTTTAGCTTTATATAACATCCATTTTTATATATTCACAATTTTTAAAAAATAAAAGGCTATTTTTAGGTCTAAAGTAAAAAATTCAAAATTTTGCCTTTATACCAAAAGCTCTTTTTTTTGATTACCACTTTTTGTCACCACAACCAAAATTAGTCCCTTTTATTTATAATTTTATACTATAATTCAATTTTTAAAAATTTTCCCTTTTATAGTACACCTACTACAATTCCCAAGCTCCACTATTTGATCCACTTTATTTGTATTAGCCCCTTTACCATTATTTTACATTTGGTTAAAAAATCCGGGCTTTTTTTTTAGCTTAAGACTATTTACTTTTTTTTTAAATACTTAATTCAAACAAAAGATTCACTAAAAAATCTAGATTACAAGCATTGATCCTGATACCAACCTCTTATTTAATGACTTAAATGAATCAAACCATTACTGTAATTACTACACTGCAGAACAATCAAAGGCACTTCTCAGTGCCAAACAACAACAAACTATATTTAACTACAATACAATCTTTTAAGCAAGCATTACGATGCCCTCATAGCATTACAAAAATTCCTTACACCAATAGTCCATCATTACACTAACAAAACCTGCTAAACCTGATATACAGATGTCAGCCATTCC